TATGCATGGAACTTTTCTATGCAACAATATTAACATTTCCAGGAATCAGAATCTTTGGGGTTACTGTCAACAGTTAAGGACTGAAAGGTTTAACCTATCAAGACTTCAGGCCTCTTATTATAGTGGAGAATTTTTTTTTTGGTCTCTAAACATCACACTGTGCACCTGAGGTTGCCTTTCATCCTTACAGGGTATACCTGGAGTCTAGGGGTGAATCAGAAAGGATAGTTGGGTGTCTGAGCTAGCCTATTCCTTTCCCATCTTAAACAATTCACCTCCCATCCTTCTACTCTAAGATTTCCAGATGCCAGGGGCATGAATCTGCTCATACTGTTATCCTAAAAATGCCCCATGCTAGTGCCTTTCACCTTCTCTGTTCAGTCCCCCTCATCATCACTATAAGCTATGCTAGCTGAATCGCTGTTCCCAGGCGGTCCTGCCTTTTGGCACAGAGCTGTTTAACTCTCCAGCACTCAGGGCACTGGAGAGAGCATGGGAAGGAGGTGGCAGCAATGTGACAAGCGACATGGAGAAGGAATGGCAGGACAGAAGGGAATTATAAAATGAATCTCAGCCTCTAGGCATGTCAGGTTGGAGGCAAGTCAAACTCCAATATATAAGGAAGAACACTTTTTTTTTTTTTTTAACTGTGTGTGATGGGAGCACAAATGTGTCTATCATGTTAAAGGTGGTAATCATACGTGGAGAGAAAAAGTCAACACTATTTAAGCTCCTCACAACCGGCAATGAAGTAAAAAGAGATGAACTAACTCTGGCTAGGGAGCTCTGCATCAGATGTGAGGCTGGACCTGATGAGTTTTAAGATGGACTTCTTTACAGTCTTCCTAAGTGGTACTGATTAAAGGGGACCAGTATCTGCTTTAGGAAGTGCTCTGGGACTAAAGGAGCATTTGGCACATAGGTAAGATAACTCAAAGATATAAATTCCAAATGAGAGCCCTCAAAAGGTCACACTCAAACAGCTAAATACATGAGGCCAGTGGTTCAGTGCTATGACTGAGGGGGTGCTACTCTACAAAGGCACACCTAACTTGCTCTATTAAGTCATTTGGACAACTGGCCTCTACTCTTGGCCCTGATCTCAGTGTTGGCTCAGCTCTTCCTACACGACAAGTCAGGAATGTGTAAGACTCTAACAGGCTAGCCACTCAAGGTTCCAGACACAGATGCTGTACTGTCACTTGACTCCTTGGAAACAAATCTTTTTTTTTTTTTTTTTAAGATTTTATTTATTTATTTGACAGACAGAGATCACAAGTAGGCAGAGAGGCAGGCAGAAGAGAGGAGGAAGCAGGCTCCCCACTGAGCAGAGAGCCCGATGGGGGGCTCAATCCCAGGACCCTGGGATCATGACCTGAACCGAAAGCAGAGGCTTTAACCCACTGAACCACCCAGGCGCCCCTCCTTGGAAACAAATCTTAAAACTTCCCACAAGTCCTTGTAAAGTAAGGTTATTACACAGGGTTTTTCTTCTTTCTATAAAGGCATGTTCCAACAAAACTTCAAGATCACCATAAATACAACTGTTGAAGGCAATAAATAAGTAATTTAATGATTAAAACAACATATAGCTTTTTCATTAAACTATCAGCTCTCTGGTTACCCTGAGTAATTAGTTCAAGGAATCAAAAGTGTTGAATTGAATAAGTGATACCAAAAAATCCTTGAACGGGATAGGAAAGGAACGTCCAAAAATAAAGAACTAAATAAAAATGTTACTAGAGTGTCCTATTTACCAGACTTTCCAGTAGAAACTTGACACATAGTTCGCAAAAATCTGCTTAACCTTGGTAAAGCAATTAAAAGGTGATTTCCAGTAACTCCACTGCATGAATCAAATTATTGTTGAGAAGATAAATATTTGAAATTATTGGCTACCGAGACTATCAACTCCCAACTCTCTGCAAACCCACCAGTCTTCTTTTCTGTTCTTTGATCCTCTGTGATAGAGAAACAAAGACCATCATTTTTAATTTCAAGAAAATCACACGGATGCTTTGTTTCCTCACTTAAAAGAAATTATGTGATAATATTTGGGCTATTAATGGGTTCCATATGAACTAGATTTAACTTACAATTCAATCAACTATTAAATTATCTATTTCTTGTATTAAAAAACCCACAAATCAGCATATAAATGGCTAAAAAGTGATTAATCTGGGTTCTTTTATTCCTATTTACCTCTCCAGGCAGAGCCACATCTGTGAAGGACCAATTTCCGAATTCATCCAAATACTGGAACAGACATTTTGTTGCTGGCAGTGTTATCTGAATTGCCAAGCAAGCCCACATAAAAAGGAACCATTAAAGAGCAGCAACTTAGTTATCAGTGATATCATAAGTTATTCACTCAACAAATAGTACCAGACACTCTGCAAAGTGCTGGAAATACAATGGTGAGTTAAATGATTCCTGCTCTCACAAAGCTTACAGTATGGTAAGGGGAACAGATATCAATCAATCATATAATGGAGTATAATTAAAAAGTGAAATAAAGGGGCACCTGTGTGGCTCAGTGGGTTAAGCCTCTGCCTTGGGCTCAGGTCATGATCTCAGGGTCCTGGGACCAAGCCCTGCATCTGGCTCTCTGCTCAGCGGGGAGCCTGCTTTCCCCCCTCTCTCTGCCTGCCTCTCTGCCTACTTGTGATCTCTCTCTCTCTCTCCCTGTCAAATAAATAAATAAATAAATAAATAAAGCGATTAAAAAAAAAAGTGAAATAAAGCTTACAAGGAAAAAGAACACAATGTAAAGTAAAAGAATCTTATCTAGACAAACCGTAGGCATCGGAAAGGGCTTCCCTGAGGAAGTGATGCTTGAGCTGAGAGCTCCAGGACTGGAGTGGGGCAGTGCGTGGGTGGGGGTGGGGGTGGGGGTGGGCGGTGGTCTGTTGGGAGAAATATGTTGGCAGGCATATGAGATTTCAGGCGAAGAGCACATGAAAGGGCCTGGGGTAAGGGTACCACTGTGTTTAGAGCACAGGGAACTAGGGGTACAAGGATAAGAAAATGGTAGTTTTAGAAAGGTCTTAAAATAGGAAGCAGGCAAATGGCCTCTACTATTACAGGAATTCTAGTGGGGGTTGAACAATATAATGCCTGTAAGGGAATTCTGTACACTGTAAAGCACCTTTACTTTCATTTCATTAGTAGTATTTACTTCCACTAGTTGGTTTTCTAAATAAACTTCTGGCCTGGATGCCAAGTGACAAGCCAAAAGCAGAAGAGCTAAAACTAGAACCTTAGTGTTCTAATCCAGTGTTTTGCCCCTATATCACACTGCCTAAAAATGTCACTGTTCATATCACTTAACTAGTCCAATGTCTTTACCAGACAGCCAGTGCTTCATAATAACAACTCCAATTTTAAGTATGTGTCAGGCAATTTTCTAAGCTCTTTATTTACATTAACTCATTTAACGCTCAATTCTAGAAAAAAAGGCTCTATTACTGTCCAGATGAAAACACAGGGCTCAAAAAAGTTAAGAAAATTATTCAAAGTCATATAGCTGGTAAATGTTGACACTGTTGACCACAACACTACTTAGCTGCAGCTTAAAATATTTTACGTGTGTGTCTGTACATACAGGGGTGGTCAGAGAACAAAACCCACCTGTATAAAACCACATTCACATTATTGAGGACACGGATCAATGCCTTAGTCACCCAGTGCCTGGGGTATTAGCGGGGCTTGGCAAATACACTATGAACTAAATAAAGATGGATATAGGGGACTAACAAAAGACTTGAATCTAGAAGTAAAGTGATTTTCTGAGGCTTTCCCCCTCAGTCATGTACCCATCAGCAATTCATTTGATGGCTGTATTTTCCTTGTCTACTTTTTCTTTAAAATTGAAGATTTATTCTCCACTACCTTTGTCATACTTCACAGACTTTAGCCTGGAGGTAGAGTGGGATTATGGAAAAAGGACAAAGAACTAGTTCCAACCACTCTCCAGCCACAACTGGCCTGTTCTCAATCAGTCCAGACACTTTCCCTCCTGGGCCTTTACACTGGCTCTTTTCTCTTTCCAGAACACCATTCCTTCCTTGGGTTCCTGTGTTCAACCTCATGGAGACCTTCCTGGTACATCCAACCTAAATTAATCTCCTCAGGCCTTCTTTAACACATCACTCAGTTTCATTTCCTTTCTTTCATAAAAATGAAAATCTTTAATCTTTAATCATCTCTTTAATATCTATTCACCCCAACTCCCACTTCTAGGAGGCAAGGGCGTTGTCTAGGTGGTTCCCTGGATGTATCCTCCAGTGCCCCAAACTAGGTAAATATGCATTTAATCAACGAATGAGAATTACCTCAGATTTACCTCGGTTTTGTCAAGCCCTCAATATCCTTAAGCTTTCCACTCCTGGTGGCTCTACACCCCATTCTCTACAGGAACACCATTTCTACATTGAGATTCACAAAGTAGCCTGGACTCCATTTTCTGAGCAGAGCCCCTAAAACCATCTTGAGAAGGGAGGTCCGGGCATGGCAAGAACCACCTCTCTCCCCATTTTACAGTCCAGGAAATTGAGCCTCGGAAGAGATTCGCCTACGGCCACGCCGAAAACACCGGCAGGAGCCCCGAAGAATGTCCAGGTTCCGAAACGCCCTTCCCACGAGCCAGCGCCGTGGATTCAAGATGCTTCATCACCTTTATTACTATTGTTCTACCGTCCTCATTCTGGACGCGCTCCAGTCGGAGGGAGGCCGCCCGGCCCTATGCCGCGTCCCCGCGCTCCCCAGACTCTTAACCCAGGACGCGCCCCCGCGCGCCCCGCCCCCGGCCCCGCCCCCATCGCCCCGGCCTCCCGCCGCACCGCGGCCTCTGCTCCCGCCCCGCCAGGGCTCCCGCGCCCCGCGGGGACCACCCCCTCCGGCTCGAGCCAATCAATAGAGCCTCGGGAGGTGGAGCCAGAGGCACCCGCCCTCCTATCTGGGCACCAATTGGCCGCGCCAGCCGTCGCTCAGGAAGTCGCGCCCCGCACCCGCCTCCCTCCTTTTCTTCCACCCTCCTTTCAGGAAAAAACGGCGGTTGAGCCGCGGCGGTCTCCAACGGCGGGCGGGAAGCGGAGGGGCGAGGAGCCGGGGAGCTAGGGAAGGAGGGACTGCAGGGAGGAGGAGGATGAAAGGGAGGAGGAGGGGAGCCCAGCCCAGCCGGAGCCATCTCCATCGAGAACAAAATGGCGGCGCTGGCGGAGGGCCAACTGTGAGGCGGGGCCGCGGCCATTCCCCCTCCGCCCCCACCCTCGCGCCGGCCGGGCCGGTCAGGGGGAGCCCGCTCGCTTCGCCCGGCCGCGGGCGGGGAGGGGAGGGGAGCGGCCCGGCCCACTATGCAAAGCGTCCGGCGCCGCCGCCGCCGCCCCGTGGCAAAGGTAAAAGGGTCGGGTTCAGCCGCCGTCGCGGCGGCTCCATGTCCGCGCGCCAGGCCCGCCCCCTCCGCCGCCGGCCCGAGCCCGCCCCGGCCCCTTTTCAATTTTACCTCAGGATTTGGCGCCAAAGCAGCCTCGAAGCAGGTCCCGTGTCTGCGGCGGGCGGCCCCCGACGCGGAGGGCAGGGCGCGGGGAGGCCGGGCTCCCGGCGTTGGCGGATGGCGGGAGCCCGGGGGCCGCGGGCTCGCGGGGCAGCAGGCGAGAGACGAGACGCCGAGGTGGGAGCGGGGGCGGCGGGGGCGGGCCCGGGGGCGCCGCCGGGGTCGCGGGGAAGGGGGGGTTTGTTATTGTTTTTGTCAGTGAAAGGTCAGAGTTCGTGACCCCGGTGCCGCCGCCGCCGCCGCCCGCGCGCTGGTAGGAGGAGGGCGAATGTTCTTCTTCCTCTTCCCAGCGCCAGCCTCGCCGCGGCCGCGGGGGGCGGGCGAGCACGCGATTGGCTGAGGCGCGCGCGCGCACCGGAACGCCGCGGCCGGCGCTGGTCCATCCGGCCCCTCGGCGGCCCGCGGGCCCGGCGGCGAGCGGGCGGGAGCTTGTGTCGGCGCTGCGGCCCGGGGAGCCTCCGCCCCGAACTGGGGTGGTGTGGGCGGCGCGGCCGCTAGGCGAAAATGAAATTTCAGTGCCCCGGACGCATCTGTTTTCAGGGCAAAGGGCCGGTTGGTCGTCTTAAAAATCTGAGAACGCGGGGCACCGTTATTCGGGTGCAAGCCTGCGAGCTTCTCCAGGCTAGGAGGTTACTGTGTTCTCCCGGTGATAGCCTCCATCCCGGCCTCCCGCTGAGCTGAAGCCTCTGTGTTTGTTGATTGAAGAAGCAGTCTCACAGCAGAGAGCCTGTAGGTTGAGAGGGTGGTTTATTGGTGGGTATTGAATTGTTCGTGCCCTACTCTTTACGGATGTTTTAAAATTAGGTTTTAAAGGCCGTTAGGTTCCGGCAGTATTAGGTAAAGTATTGAAATCGTCCAAAATCTGTTATCTGTGGTCTTCTAGTGAAACGTTACCCAACTCTTAAGTCCTTCTTTCCCCGTTATTTGGAACAGGAAATAAGTGTGTGTAAAACGACTCTTCAAAATTGCTGAAGTACATAAAGAAAATCGCTTCTGTTGGTCTTAGGGATTTGGGTCTAGTAGGTTTTCTTTAGATATTTCTTTTTTGAGTCTTGGTTTTGACTTGCTTGGGAGGTGTGGATCACTTACTTATCTTAGGTTTCCTGAAATGTTTCGGCTAGACTCTTCTTGATCATCATGCTTTGTAGGAGGAAGATTCTTTGCTGATTGATTTTTTTTCTTGCATTTTTCTTGTTTGTTATGAATAAATACTGATCCCAAGATGGATGGGTTAACCTTTTTTCTTAAACAGTTGTGCTTTGATCAGGCTGACCCCAACTTTGAGTATTTTGTTCTATATCTTATAATATTTCTATCTGATAGAAAATGCTTTAAATGCTTTAAACATACCATTTTTTTCTTTTCCGATGTTCTCACCTCGAAAAGAAGTAAGTGAGGAAGAGACTTAAATTTGTAATGTGTTGGTGAACCACACAGATCCTGTACCTGGAAGGGGACTCAAAAAATGATATGTCCAGTCTTCTTCTGGCAGGGAGATTTTACAGGAGAGGTGGGTGAGAACAAGAAAGGTCAAGTGATGTGTGCCTATGGTTAGACAGTATTTTGATGGTAAATCCTTGTAAACATGGACTGTTTTTACAATTGTACTCTTATTCAAAAGTTACTTTTTCATGTTAAATAATGCTTCCAGATACAGTGTAAAAAATTCATGCATCAATGAGTTTTAGGTTTTTCTTTTTTGTAAACAGTACAATTGCACAAATTTTTGAAGTAAATGCTAAACAATCATTAATGTTTCTCTGATGGTTTATCATTAGCACTGTGAACAAGGCACAGTTATTTCATTTTACTGAGGTGTAAGATCCGAGGCCTGGGTAAAGTAAGCAACCTGCATAACGTTACAGGTGCAGTAAGGGAACCCAAAGCTGTGACCTAGTCCTTTTGACCTTAAGGTTTATGCTGTAAAACCATGCTGTTATCAGTGGCCTGCTGGTAATAGCAATCAGTAGATGTTCACTTAAAGGTTAGTTAGTTGTTTAATGTAAAAGTAATGTAGAGAGCTGCTTAGGCGCTCAGTGGGTTAAGTATGTGCCTTCAGCTCAAGTCAGGATCCCAGAGTCCTGGAATTGAGTCTTGCATAGGCCTCCTGCTCAGCAGGGAGTCTGTTTCTCCCTCCTCCCCGCCCCGCTTGGGCTCTCGTGATCTCTCTCAAATAAATTCAACTTAAAAAAAAAAAAAAAGTAGTGTAGAAAGGTTCATAATCTTGAGCAGCTTTTCTTCCCTTGAAAACATGTGCACAGGTACAGAGACAGATTGCAAACAGTATCAGCAGGTAACAGCCCTTTGCAAGCTGAGATTAGTGCTGCCATGGTGCCATTTTTTGCTCCATTGTGTTTTTTCTAGACATCTTTTTAAAAAATTATTTATTTTAGCAAGACAGTGTGCACATGAGGTGCAGGTGCACAGAGAGAATCTTAAGCAGGTTTCCACTTTCTGCGTGAAGCCTATATTGGGCCTCAGTCCACGACCCTCAGGTCATGACCTGATCAAGAGTCAGAAATCAAGAGTCACCCAGGCACCCCTCACTATAAGTCTTTTTAGTGACAGTGTTTTAGTGGCTTTAATCACAAAAAATATTGAAGTTGTAGTATACTAGCTATGCTTTTTTTTTTTAATTGTTAATAAGTATCCACAATTGTATCAATAGTGCTTTTAACATTGTTTTATCTGCCTTTAAATGAAAGGGTTCTTGACTGGGAGGGTAGTAGAGTAAAGAACTGCCAGGCCCCAGTGGTTGTGGAGCAGTAGTCTTTGGGTGGGGCCTTACATCAGCACTTCCGAGCATCACAGGGAATTCTGATGTACACTACTGGCCCGAACCACTGATCTAATTCCAAAAATGTGTGGCAAAAGAAAAACAAGACAAAACTTTGTTTTGGTTTTTGAAATGTAATTGCTGTTTTTTCAAACTGACCACTACTGAAGATTATTCATTCACAGGGATGGGGCTTGACAGGAGTGATGATCTATCTGGCAGTATCCAGCTGTTGTGTGTCCATCTTCTTGGCACCTACCCAGACTGTGAGCTCTGTCTCAAAATGCCTTGTCCCTCTCTCTTTCAGCCCTTACCACGTACCTAGTGAAGATGGGTATTTACTGAAACAGTGCTTTCCCCAGCAGTAATATATGGTAAAGAATATTCAAATTATCATCCCCACCCTTTAAAAAAATTTTTTTAAAAGATTTTATTTATTTGACAGAGATCACAAGTAGGCAGAGAGAGAGGGGGAAGCAGGCTCATCGCCGAGCAGAGAGCCTGATGTGGGGCTCGATCCCAGAACCCTGGGATCATGACCTGAGCTGAAGACAGAGACTTTAACCCACTGAGCCACCCAGGCGCTCCATCATCCCCCTTTTAAGATGAATTCAGTGAAAGCAAAGTTTGGTGTCTTCCTTGAGCTGGGATGTGAGCCTGGGGCTGTTCACTCCTTGCCCATTGCTATGTGGATGACACCCAGGTGTTCTGAGACCCAGGTGTTCCTTTCTCTTCCCTCTTTGTTCTCTGGGCAGGTCCTTTTTTATCACAACACTTAACTAGTTAACACTAACTTCAGTCAGTGATTAACTTGTCTGTGAGCTCCTTGAGAGCAGGAACAATGTATAGTTTCATTTTGTGCATAGCCCGGAGTAAACATGTTTTTTGCCATCCAGGGTTATTTAAATAATAAACATCCATGAAGACCAAATTTTGGTTAAATAGTTGGAGTTGTGCTAAAATTTTCAAATTACTATTATTAAGCAAAGTTTGTTTTTTTTTTTTTAACTTGTAAAGATACTGCTTTTGTGGTAGCAGAAATGATGATTTTCCTTAATTTTGTAGACTGGGAAGGCTTAATAATTACCTTTAAGTTTTTATGTATATCTTTGTATCAACTTTTCTGTAGTAGCTTATGCTTCATTATTATGTATAATAATTTATGAAACTTGTTTGTATCATTTATATAATTGACTGTTTATAAAATAAACTGTTAAACCTCCCATAATTCTTTTTAGCCTTAATTTTTAAGAACGTGGAATCTACACAGATGTAATCAATGAGACCAGATTGCATGTTCCTTATACTCACATTATGTTGTTTAATCTTCACAATAACTTTGTGAAGTGGATGGTATTATCTTGTTTTTATAGCTGAGGAGGCTGAGGCTTTAAACAGGGGAGCATAACTTCTCCAAAGTCACATGGCTGGCAGGTGGTGGAACATTTATTCATAGTTATTTCTGCTTATTTCTCCTCTTCTGTCCTCGAGGACTTTGAAAAGAAAACCATCTTCCCACTCCATGATTCTGTGGAAGTCAAGCTCTGTCACAATAGAAGGCTACTTGGAGAGGTCTCTATATACTTGGTCCTTGCTTTTCCCAGGAAGAGAAAAGAGACTGAGCCTGTGGTAGTCTGGTGGGAATGCACAATGCAGGGACACTGTGAGAGTGAGTTTCTGAGTCCCCTCCAGGATGGCTTTTGCTGGGAGTTCCTGATCTGAGGCTTCCTGGGCCTCGAAAAGATACTAATTCAAAGTTGTATTTGGCTCAAGGATCTTGGAGCATGTGGAAAATCAGATTATCTTCTCAGAAAAATGTACCAGCTCTTGGCCCCTTGTTTTAGAATGCCTTTCGCCTAATTAGGAACTCTCAATCTTGAGGTTGGGAGTTCTTCATTAGCCCAGTGCCACCACAAGAGTTAATCACAGGCCTGCTGGCCTTTTACTCTCGAAGTATAAATAGTGGCACTCCCTGAGTTTCTTAAAGAGATTATTTCAGCCCCACAGCCTGTTCACTACAGGCCAGAAAATGCACCTTCGAAGCCAAAAAGTCTCTTGGGAAAGGCTTTCTTTTCTGTGCTTTGCTTTGGATCCCGTACTTCACCTTGGGGAGAAATAGGATGCTGTCCTGAGGCGTCTGGCCGTGGGGAGGCTCTGGTTACGCTGTCAGGACTGTGTCTACACAGTAAATCCTCTTGGTTCTGCCCTCCCGTTTGGCCCCTCCTACACTGTTCTCTAGTTTAGGTTCTCTCTGGCCTATTGTCATGGTTTCCTAACCTTCCAAACCAGTCCCTACCAGTTGTCCCCTCCCCACCCACCACCCTCTCCCTTTCCACTCCCA